CTGTCTGTATCCCCAGTGGGGCTCAGAAGTCTGGTGGTCTGGGTCAGGAGAACAGGGATGTAGGCAAGACGGTGGCAGGTGCAAACAGCCCTTCCCTGGAAGTCAGAAGAAAGTCAAACGGCTCTTAACTGTGGATGCCCTTGGTAAGTCATGCCACTCACTGTTTCAGATTTTGCTTTCCTCATTTGCCCCGGGGTAGGGGTGATGGCCTCTGTCCTGTCCCCTTGACATGGTTGGCAAGGGGAACGCCAGGGAGGGGCAGGAGGCTGGTGGAGAGGCGGGACAGGGAGGACATGGATCAATGCAGAGACTGTCACTTGTGGGCATGGTCCTCACAGAGGTGGCTGCCTTCTCAGGTGCTGATGTGTGTTTGTGAATGTGGGGGTGTGAGAACGTGCAGATGCGTGTGTGAATGGCTCGTGGATGTGCATACGTGGGTGTGTCCCACACACAGACACACTCATTGACTGAAAGCCCACAGTGGGCTGGGCACAGGGACAGGTGGGAGAAGGGAAAGAAGGCAGAGGTGGGCACTTCTCTTAAGGAACTGGTGGTCTCATGGTGGAAGGGGGGCCGCCACGAGTGGCAAGTGATTTAGGAATACAGAAGAGATCAAAGCAGATGTCTGGGGAGGCACGACAAATGCTGTGCGAGTGGAGAAGACGATAGAGACTAGAGATGCCAACAGCAGGCAGGAGGAAGCCTGGCTGAGCGGATCAGCTCTGTGGGGTTGTTCCAGAAGGCGTGATGGAGGGCCAGTAGAGGATACTGGTGCTTGGCAGGTGGGCAAGGCATTGCGGGTCTGGGAAGGGGAGAATGAGGTGCCCAGATGGGCAGTGGTGGGCCGGCAGATGTGAGCAAAGTAGTAGTTCAGGGATATTCTGGCAGTGTGCTACACACAAGGGCAATGGTACAAGGTGCAAATGAAATCTGCCTGGAAGGGAAGATGTCCCCCTCGGAGGGGTGAATCTCTAAGTGAATCCTGTGATTCACTTAGAATCAGAGGGAGAAAGCCTAGCACGTCACAGGCCTGAGATAATGGTGACTGCAAATCTGGAAAGATAAAATGTGGCCTTTGGGACATGTGTCGCACAGCTGTCCTGTGATGCTGGCCAGCCAGCACTTGTCAGAGGCACCAGTTAAGGCTGTTTAGAGTTCAGAGGTCTCTGCTCCTCCCGCACTGGGGACCAGTCATGCTTGCGCTGTTTGAATATCTTCCCTAACTCTCTCAGTGAGCACCGCCTATCCACAGAGCTACACCAGAGTGACTCCACACATGCATGAGAGCAGGGACACCATCACGTGGTGACTTCTTACAGCACCCAAAACAGCGCCAAGCACACACTAGGCGTCTGGCATCAGCTGAGTGAATGCAGAAGGCATTATTGAGTTACGCCAAGCGTGGTTCAAAAGTGGCCAGAGAGGAAGGAGCTGTGCAAAGGTAGGAGGAGTGGGGTGGCAGGGCAGGGTTTCATCAGCTAGAAACAGGGTAGGTCTAAGCCCCTCCAGGGCCCTTGCTGTGCTCCTGGCCTCCTGGGGTCTGATGGAAAACCTCTACTAGGAAATGTCAGGGTTGGCCGGGAGAGTTGAGCCTCATCAGCTGGTCCCTGCATTTATTTGGCAGAACAGAGAGGTAAGGACAGCCCAGGAAGCTGGGAGCAAATCAATTTCAGGTCATTCAGTTGCAGATCAACTAGTCCAACCCCTTATCTTGATGAGGTCAAAATCAAGGCCCAGGGAGGGGAGGTCACCCGGCCAATGTCAAACAATCAGAGTCGGGATGTCAAGATCTCATCTGCTGACCACATGTACATTGTCCTGGGGTCACAGTGAAAAAAAGGAATTCTGGGAAGGGTTTCACCTCCTTGGGTCTGAACAATGCTATCCCCACACCCCTCTACATAGTCATGACAGGCTCTACTAGAATCATCTCAAGCCCCCTTCTTCACCCTAAGCCTGTCATTCACCCATAAGGTCCAGGGAGGGAAGAGGCCTGAATAGGATGGGGTTCAGGGGCCCATCTGCCATAGACGCCCTTCTACCTGGTTCCTGTAGGCTGACCTTTCCCCTCGAGTCTCTAGAAGCTTTTCCTGCCTGTTCACCCGGGGGACACAAGCAGCTGGTTACACCACACTGCCCCCCCCTCCGCCGCCCCGCCCAACCCCTGGCATCCCACTTCCTCCACAGATTCTCTCCCATGGAGAGAAATCTAGATCAAGGCAAGTCCTGGGGCCTGTGTTCATTGGCAGGGCCCCATGCTCTGGCCTCCCAAGCACTGGTCCAGCCCTGGGCTCCATAAGTCCCCAGGCACTGTCCAGGTGCTTCAGAGAGCACCAGACCCTGAGTGTTTCAACACTGTGCAAGGACCTGGGGTTTCTGCTTTTGCAGTCACCCCTGGGTTCATCCACACTTCACTGTCTCATGTCTCGATCCCTCTGGTGGTGTCCTGTCCTCTCATTCTGGTCAGTTCTGCCTGTCCCTCCAGGTTCATCATCTATCTCCAAAGAGTGACTTTTGAGTGTCGCTTCTCCGGTAAATAATCTTGAATGGCTTCCCAGAGTCGACCCGCAAAAGCCACTCCTCTGCCAGACTTTTGAGAACCTTGTTTTCCCCCTTCCCCTCCATTTGCTCACTTAAAAAAAAAAATACACACACACACACACACACACACACACACGGTTTCTCCAACCCAGAGCTCCCTCTTCCTTCACTCAAGGATTCAGCTCTCCTCCTTCTCTAGGGCCCAGCCCTGCTCCAACCTCCTCCCCATGGCCTCAGGGCCAGAGAAATTTGTAGATCATCTGGAGCCAACCCCTCATTTTCTAGATGAGGAAACCGAGGCCCAGCAAGTTTCATTCATTGGCCTCAAAATGAAATCACTAACTAGAGAGAGGGGAGTCCAGATTGCCTCATTCTACAATAAAACACCTTTATATCCTCTCTGGCTGGAGAGGGCACAGTGTTCCGGAGGGAAGGGCATGGTAGGAAGGGAAGAGATCTATCCCTGAGTCCACAGACTTCCAATTGTCCTTACAGTTAGAATCACACAATTAAGTGTTTAATTACAACCTGCTCTGCATTGTTATTTAATTATTTCCAAAGCAAACTGTAAGCTGCTTGAGGGCAGGGAAAATTCCTGGCGCCCTTGATTGTATCTTCTCTGAAGTTCCCAGCACAGCGCTGGGCACATGGAAGGCATCATATGGCAAGACTGGGACCTTGGCTGGGGCTTTCATCTGGGAGGGCCATTTTAAACCCTGTCCAGATGCAAGTCCAGTTTCTAAGTTCCCCATGGACGAAAGGTGGGTCAAGGGGTGAGGTGGGGAAGTACACAAGACCAAACAATGGGTTTCAGGCCCAGTGTGTTTTGGCTTCCTTGCCTGGTCACCAACATCCTGGGAGGGGTGGATCAGGCCTTTGCTGGTACCTCAGGCCACTGTGGTTTCTGGAGGACAGGCTGCCGTCAAGCCTCGGGAGCCCCAGCACACAGAGTAGGGAAGCGTCTTTGGTGTACGCAGCTCTCTTATTCCCTTGTCTGTCCCTCCTCATGGCATCTCCTGATGCTCTATCCTTGCCTCCATCCTGCCTTCAGAAGGCACTTACCCCGCGAGAGGTTCCTGCCCTGGGCATAGGCATGGTAACCCTGGAGTCTCATGGTGGGGCTCAGAGGCACTGCCTCATTTTATGAGAACCCCATGGGTGGGGGAATGTCATAGGCTGAGGACCTGACATCTTTGGTGAGACTGGTAGCCAGGGTGCTGGAGACAGTTTTTCTTGGTCTGGGCAAGATACATAATTGTGTTTCTTTCTCTCTGCATCTAAACTTAAAAGTGTGTCTTTGGCAAAACCGTTTAAACAGATTCACGGATTGGCAAGGCGCTGAGGGCACCTGGGGAAGGTTCACCGGTGGAAAGTTTGCACCAGCTCCACTCCCAGGGTGGCCTGGAGCCCTCTGTGATTGGTGGGCCCTGCTCGGCACATCTGAAGGGCCCGGTCGCTCAACCTGTGCCTTTCTGGGCTCCATGTTCCTCTCCTTTGGGGCCTCCGGCATCGCAGCTGTAGCAATACCTGTGCCGGCTTCCCAGTGGGTGGATATTTGGTCAAGGTCACTGGGTGAGAGGCAATGGCTGATGACACCCACCCTCCCACTTGCCTTCCTGCCAGCCTGGGGGACGTGCTCCTTGCACTCTCAGATGGCATTTGTGCAGTCTCTATTGCCTTCCCCTCCCTAAAATTGGGGAGGTGATAGAGTGCAGGGGTGGCTTTATTTCCCATTATCTGGAAGAGAAATCTAAGGCTCAGATGGTGGGAGGGGGAGTCGGGGGCATGGCTCACACTGGGTCAGGTGAGTCACTTGTGGCATGTTGCAGTGGCCAAGTGGCCACCACTCCTGCTCTCTGGCCCTGGTGGTGGGAGGACCGAGGCCAAGCAGGCAGGGTTAGCCATTAGGAGGCTATAGGGAGTTGGTCTGCTCCAGAAGCCAAGGAGGGCTGCTCAGAGAAGCTAGTGGAGGGGGGATGGTGGGGGACATCTTCACCTCATCACTGAGATGGCACAGCCGACCCAGTAATTAGCAACCCGTGAGGATAGACCGGCAGGGTGGCATTCCAGTGCCCTCTTGCCCAGATCAGACTCAATTACAGAGCACAGTGACTTGCCAAAGTTCAGGGGCAGCTGTCTGCACATGCCATGCAAAGTTTCGGGGCACTCTTCTTCCTGGCTCCAGTCACCCACTTTGAGACCCTGCCTTACATAGCAACCCACCCAGCCGGAGCCTCCACATTAGTCTGTGGGACTTACTTCTCAAGGGAGACCACATCTGATGCCAACATCATTAAGGAACTCCTTCCAGTTTGCTCCCAAGAAACACCAGCCTTTGACACCAGTCTCCAAGGCTCATGAGTGGGGGTCAAGGCCCTAATTTCCCCATAAATGCATGAAGCGTTGGTTCCACCCCAGAATTCACCCTGGAGGTGGATGGAAGGATGGGAAGGTCTTACCTCGAGTTTTGTTTTCCTTGGGAAGGAGAGAGATGACTTTTCCTTCCTGAAGATAGACAAAGAACTGGTAGCGATGGAAGCCACTGTGTGCTGGTGGGGAGGGAGCCTGGTAGGCTACAGGTAGAAGAAGGAGAGAGGTGGGCATCAACATCCCATATTATCCAGGGCAGAGCTCTCTGTCTTCCCATGGTCCTGCTGACCTCCCTGGGGCCCCAGATCGGGACTCACCCGTGCAAACCATTAGGATTTGTATTTGGTGGGATCTCAGCTTCAGTATCTTCATTTAAGAAGAACATATTTTGGTGGGGGTGAGAGTGGGGGAGGAGGTGGTCCGAGAGAAAACACCCTGAGCTGGCTTGAAGGCCTCGGGTGCTGGCGTGGCTCCCAGGCCTTTATGGGCCGGTGGGTGTTGGCATTGTCCTGTTTTTGTTTTAGTCTATCCTGATGGATTTCCTGCCTCAAGAGAAGCCCATCTTCCTCTGCGAGTGTGTTTGGCAGGAGATTTTTATTTATTTTTTCGGCATTTGCTTATGAACTCAATCCCCAAAGAAGCCAATTTCTTGGCTGCGTCTGGAGGATCTGGAAGTGGTTACAAGGGTGGGTGGGACTGGGTTCAAAGGTTTGATCATGGGAGCTGTAGAAGCTGGGCGCTTGGGGCACCGGGGAGAAGGCCCCTCTCCCACTCCTTCCCTCTTCCTCCAGGAGGCTGTGCTTTTTTTGTGTGTGGGGGGGAAGTGGGGTGGGGACATCCCTCATTCTTCCCCCAAGTCCATGCAGAGAGACAAGATCTTGCTGGCCTGGCCTGGGTCTTTCAAGGTGGGCCTCTTTCCCAGCATATTTCAGCCCTTCCCACTTCCCTTCCCTCTCTCCATCTTCCTTTCCATGGAGGAGAGCCAGGCTGGAGCCAAGAATCTTCCTGGGTGGGTGGGAAAGAAGCATTTGCAATGAGGATGTTGGTGGGAGGGAGTATTGGTCCTTTATGGCCATCTCCCCTTCTTTTCTCTCTCAATCATTAAACAAAAGCACGACTTGCTGCTTGGAGCATTGGAAGAGTCCCTCACTGTGCACTTCCGGCCACTGGTGGCTTTCAGCATGCCAACAGCTGGGGAATTCCTGACGATTCATCTTTCCCTGCAGTTTTGGATTGCAGATCAGATGTGTGTGTGTGTCTGTGTGTGTGTGTGTGTGTGTGCACGCGTGTGCACTCAGAGTGAGAGCAGAGCTGGATGTGCTTGGAGCCATGTGTGTGTGTGGTTGGAGGTCTCCACTTGGGGCGGGTGTGTGCACACGAAAAGCCAGTGTGCAAACACCCTGAGGCTGTTTTGGAGGCCCTGTTAGTGTGTGTGTAAATGCAGGTAAAGGAGCATTTTTCCTAAACACCACCAGTGCTGAGGAAGTCTTCTGAGCACAGGTGGGTGCCAGGGAGTCTCCTCGTGCGCAAGTCAGTGTGGGCGAGGTGGGTGGGTATGTGGGCTGTGGAGTGCACTCCACCGTGGGCACACTCGACGCTGCCCAAAACTGGTGACCTCGGTTCTGTGCGGACAAGCATGAAGTGAGAACTCACTGGATCTGCGCAATGGAGAATTTATCCTCAAGGGAGATAGAGACTAATGCCTCTCACTAGGGCTTTCCCCAAGAATCCCCCATTCAAAACCTCCAAAGGCAGAGAATTGAGGCATGAGGAGGAGGGGAAAGGGTTCATACATGCTAGACTACTTCTCCGGGCCAGGCCCTGGGCTGTAGGCCTTCACTTATGACATCTTCTCCATCTTCCCGTTTCCTGGAGGCTTGAGAGGTGAAGCCAGGCCAACAGTGAGTGGTGGTGCTGGGATTTGAATCCAGGCCTGAGTGGTGCTGAAGCCCACGCTGCTTCACGGAACTGCAAGGCTAAGTTTGGTGCCCAGTCCTGTGCCAGAGGCCAGCCCACTACCTGAGCATCCCTTTCAAGGTAGGTTGGGGGCACCATCCTGGGGCAGGGATCTGAGAGAGGGGAGCTGGGGGGAGGATGGGGGTGGACAGGCGTTGCAAGCAGCCTCCAGTCAGAGGGCCCCCTGCACTGTGACGCTGGCTGCATTCCTTACTAGCTGTTCACATGGCACAGGATGGTCTGTGCCTCAGCGTTATCCTCTTTAAAATGGGGACACTGATGGCAGTGACCATAAAAGGCAGTTGTGGAGATGAAATCAGGGCATCCAAGAAAACTCTCAGGGTGGCGCTAGCACACGACAAAGCAGCACCATGAGGTTTTCATTCCTGTGATCGTCACTGATGCCCTGGCTGGGGGAAGGGGTCCCTATGTCTTACTCACCCGATAACTCCTGGCCCTGAATCTTCCCTTTCTTCAGGTCGGCACCCTGAAAGAAGAGACAAACAGGGCTGTAGGTTATGCCTTGGGCACACTTCAGGCCACGTGGGCTCTGCGGGATTGCTTCTTTCTCTGCAGGAGGCAGATGGGAGAGGAAGGAAGATGGGAGAGGAAGGAGGATGGGAGAGGAAGGAGGATGGGAGAGGAAGGAGGATGGGAGAGGAAGGAGGATGGGAGAGGAAGGAAGGAGGATGGGAGAGGAGGAAGATGGGAGAGGAGGAAGATGGGAGAGGAGGAGGATGTATGGCTGCTTTTGGGAGACAGGGCAGTGAGTGGGGTTTTGGAATGGGTACCTCAGGGGATCCAGGGAGAGAGGACAGACACAGATGTTGCTGAGGGTGGCAAATGGACACCTTGCCTCTAGAGAAGCCCTGTAGGACACTTCCCAAAGAGCTGTTCCATGATCCCCATCGGTGCCTGAGACTGGGCGCTCGACATCACCTGCGGGCTCTGGTCAGATCTAAGGGAGGCGCTTAGATCTGCAGCTCTCTGGATCTTGCTAAGGAGCCCATCTTCTCTGGAGGGAGGATTCTGCTCCCTTTGGAAGCTTTAGAATATTAGGCAATGGGCTCTGAGCAACCAGTGGGGGGAGGGAAGGCAGGAGGAGGCTACACTGCCTGATTCTATAGTAGCTTCTCCCCACCGTCAGTTAACTTAGCCCACAACTCTGGGGCAGTTTCTTTGGCCACTGGGACAGCCTCAGTTTCCCTCCTCTCTTTCCCTCCCTCCTCCCCTCCACGCGGTGTCTGTGGGATAATGAGGTGACCCCGGGGGTGGGTGCTAATTACTGTTTGTGCAGGACCAGGAGATGCTCAGATGAAAGAGACTGGAGCCGGGCCTCTGGTTCTGTGCCATGGCTCAGGGGCCCCAGGCCATGCCAGGGAGCCCCGAGGCCCCTAGGTGTGGGGTTTTATAGCCTTAATGAAGGTGATTAGCGTGACTCTTAATTGAGTCTGCCGACACCTAACTGTGCCCTGGCTACCTTTTCACCAAGCCTAGAAGAGGGGCTCATGGGATGCTGGGAGGATGGGGGAGAGGTGGGAGGCCCTGCTTGAGTTGGGGGCAGGGGTAGGTGAGATCCAATCCCCTAGCTTGTGGTTTACCTTTTATAGAACTAAAGTCCTACTTGCCCAGTCCAGAACCCACCAGATCTCCTCCCCTTTAAACTGCAGCTTCTCTATTACTGTCCTCACTTTGGGCCTCTTGGTCAGATATCCCTCTTCCAAGGCTGGTTCCTATAGACCTAGGTCTCATTTGGTTGGAAGAAGAAGCAGGAGACTGTGGAAGGATAGACCCTTCCCCCATGAGCCCCTTGTACTTCGTCTTCTTCACCTGATGCAGGTGAGATCTTCCTTCCTTCCTTCCTTCCTTCCTTCCTTCCTTCCTTCCTTCCTTCCTTCCTTCCCTCCCTTCCCTCCCTTCCTTCCCTTCCTTCCCTTCCTTCCCTTCCTTCCCCTCCCTTCCTCCCTTCCTCCCTTCCTTCCTTCCTTCCTTTTCTTTCTTTCTTTCTTCTTAGAGTCTCGCTCTGTCATCCAGGCTGGAATGCAGTGGTGCGATCTTGGCTCACTGCAACCTCCACCTCCCGGGTTCAAGCAATTCTTCTGCCTCAACTTCCTGAGTAGCTGGGATTATAGGGGCCCGCCACCATGCCTGGCTAATTTTTGTATTTTTAGTAGAGATGGGGGTTTCACTATGTTGGTCAGGCTGGTTTCGAACTCCTGACCTCCGGTGATCCACCCGCCTCAGGCTCCCAAAGTGCTGGGATTACAGGCATGAGCCACCATGCTCAGCCGAGATCTCTTTCCTTTAACTTCCTTCTACTCTCCCTGATCCTGTTCTCTTCTGCTCAGGAGAATCTGGGCAGCCTTCAACGTCAGGTCCCACCCATACGGTGATGCACACTCCAGCTCTGTCTCACTTCTCTTTCAGCGTGGTCCCCCAACTCCCCACATTTTGGGCCTGGCATTATCTAGGGCTGGCATTATCCAGGCCCATGTGTGGCCAAAGGGCTGCGGCCCACAAGGATAAGGGATTGGAGAATGGAAACCTGTCTCCTTGATGCCCATCTCTTCCACGAGAGGAGGAAAGGCCTTGACAGATGCCCAGCAGCCACTCTCCCTGCAGAGCTCTTCTGCCACCCTAGCAAGATAGAGAGTTCTGGGGCTGAGCTCAGGGAAGACCCGCCCAGCCTGGTCTGCCCTGAGCTCCTCATCCTCCCCTTATTCCTTTCCAAGTCAGTCCAGCCAGCGGTTTGTTTAAACAAAACAACAGCAACCTAAGCTGGCTATTTCTTTTCAATTCCCCCCAGGCTTGGGTTCTACTCAGAGTGAGGCCAGAGAGCGGGTAAGGGTGGGGGCTGGGGCCGGTCAGATCAGGGAGCTGGTTTGTGCAGGGCCGCAGCAGGTGGAAAGGCTGATCTGGCGCCTTGATGGGGTGGGAAGGCTCCCTTTCTTCATCCTTTCACTCTGGGGAGCTTTCCTTATCAACCGGGGCCAGCATAGGCAAAGACTCTGCAAATCCTTATGTTGGGTTTGCTGAGGCAAGCCACTGGCCCTTCCTAGTCACTCAGCAGACCCAGTGCTTGACTGGGGCACTGATGGCAAATGGACTGTTCAGGTTCCCCCGCCGGAGCTGATCCCACAGACAGGTGCTGGTCCTCACTGGCAGAAAGAACAGGGGAGGACCTGGTGGCAGAAGGGCCCCCACATGGTGTGGGGTCAGAAGCTGTGATTTACTTGGATTGTCCTAAGAATTGCCTAAGTTCCCTTTGGCCATAAACCTTCCCTCATTGGTCAGTCCTGGAGGGGCTACAATTTCTACCATGGAATCAACACCTGGTAGGGGCCTTAGGAAACTAAATTCTAAAAGGTGAGAGAGTTGGGCTCCAGAGAGGGAAAACCCCAGAATGTTCAAGGAGAATGAGACCTTGGACCTTAGGCCCTTCAAAATCAGCTGACTCAAGGTCTCATGCCTTTTGATCTCAGTGCCATCCTGCGCTCTTTCTGTGACATCATGACAATCCCAGTATTTCTATGGGAGGCATCATTTTCCAAAGACCATGATTAAAATACGGAGATGTTATCAGGAGGGCTGGGGCTGTGGTGAAAATGGGGACCCTGCCACCTGACTTTAGCTCTTCTAAAATATCTTCATGATGGCCAAATGCAATGGCTCACACCTGTAATCCCAGCACTTTAGGAGGCTGAGTTGGGCGGATTGCTTGAGCCAAGGATTTTGAGACCAGCTTAGGCAACATAGCAAAACCTCATCTCTACAAAAAAATGCAAAAATTATCTGGGCATGATGGTCTATACCTGTAGTCTCAGCTACTTAGGGGACAAAGCTGGGAGGATCACCTGGGCCCAGGGAGCTGATCCTGAACCAAGGTGGTGTCACTGCACTTCAGCCTGGATGACAGAGTGAGACCCTGTCTCAAAACAAATATATGGATTAGAATGTCACTTCTAGCCTGTGATCACACTAGAAAGCTGAAACTCTTTAGGGATGGATGAGATTCAAGGAAGTTTCAGGAGGTAAGAGGGAGAAACCTGTAGTTTTGAGCACTGCTCAGCGCTGCTGGGCTAGGAAAGTGCCCGGGGAGGAGGGAGTACCAGCCCAGCGTTTGAGGAATACAGACACCACTCCTGTCATGTCTGAGAAGAGACAGGCTTTGGAAGGAGACCCTGAAGGAGGCTGAAAGTTGAGCTTTCTCACCTTTTAGAATTTAGTCTCTGAAGGCCCCTACCAGGTATTGATTCTATGGTAGAAATTGTAGCCCCTCCAGGACTGACCAAGGAGGGAAGGTTTACGGCTGAACCTGCAGGGTCTGCTAAGAGCTTCCCCACACCTTAGGCCTCCTCACTTTGACCGTGCTGCCTCCCCCAGCCCAGACTCCAGATGTGCTCTTGCCTTTTTAAGATGGGCTGAGCACAGACCAAATCTCCTTTCCCTTCCTATAGCTAAGACAGGCTGACATTTTCAAAAGGAACTTGTTTAAATGCTAAGGTTAAAATAAAGAAATATAGTTGACCCTTGAACAACATGGGTTTGATTTGTGTCCACCTATAAACAGATGTTTTTTCAACAAAAGTTACAGTGAGTGTGCCTGCCTCTCCTGCCTCCCCTTCCACCTCCTCCACCTCTTCCACCTCTTCTGCCTCGGCCACCCCAAGACAGCAAGACCAACCCCTCCTCTTTCCTCCTCCTCAGCCCACTCAGTGTGAAGACGATGAGGACAGAGACCTTTATGATGATCCACTTCCACTTAACAAATAGGAAATATATTTTCTCTTCCTTAGAATTTTTTAAATACCATTTTCTTTTCTCTAGCTTACCTCATTTTCAGACTACAGTATAGAATACATATAACATATGAAACATGTTAATTGAGTGTTTATGTTATTAGCTTCCAGTCAACAGTAGTCTATTAGTAGTTAAATTTTGGGAGAATCCAAAGTTATACTTGAATTTTTGACTTTGTGGGGGGTGGCACCCATACCCCCTCATTGTTTAAGGGTGAACTGTAATTATAGAAATTACAGACAACATAGATGTAGTTCAGTTTCTCATCCTCAAGAATGCTGAAAAGCCCAGGATGGCTTTTCAAATAGTACCAAATACCGAGGTATTTGGGTAGTGTGCCTAGGAGGACATTCCGGGCCTTTCTAAGTCTGGGACTGGAGGGCCTGGGGAAGGCAATTCTTCCTCATCGGCATCCTCTGGAGATGGGGAGTCTAAAATATCCATGAGTCTCCTAGCAAGGGAAGGGAGGAGGAGGTGAATTCCTTAGAAGGACTCTTAAATGCTCAAGGTATAAGAAAAATAGTAGTCATCACATACTCTCACTTACAAGTGGGAGCTGAACAATGAGAACACATGGACACAGGGAGGGGAACAACACACACTCAGGTCCGTGGTGGGGGCAGGGAGAGGGAGAACATCAGGATAAATAGCTAATGCATACGGGGCTTAATACCTAGGTGATGGGTT